GGTGGCATCGTGTGCGGCAAGTAATGCAGGCGTTAGAGCAGGTGTGGCCGAAGCAAGATTTGGCTGGTCTACCGGGCATGAGCCATGAGCACGGGATGAGACGGAAGAAGGCAGAGATGGATGATGGCGGAGTGTCAGCGTGGTTGGCGGAAGCAATCCGGGGACGCAGAGCGGGTGTGCGACGGGTGCGGCGATGTGGGCGAGCGGCGCCCTCGAGGCGGGACAGCGTACGAACGGCGCATCGCCACGCACCACTGCGGCCCGCGCCCGGCCGCGATTTTGCCCCGCAGCAGGGGCAGGGGCAGGGCAGCGGAGGCGGAGGCGCGGGCGGCAATGACGGATCGCGAAATGAATGGATTACGACGATTGTTACGTCGCGAACAGCGGTTGCGAGAAAGCCCGATTCTCTTAGGACAGGGACGAGCAGTCGTCCTCGACCGTTCCAATAATTTCGACCGAACGAGAAATGGCGGTCGTTTCCGATGGTGACACATCGAAACAAGTGATTGTTTTAATTATTCTGTTTTCTTTCTTTCTATATTTCTTTAATCATTTATTTATTTACTTGTTTGCCGACTCTTTACCCATCGCTATCTTCAGGGTGAAGCCGGCACTCTCGAAATAAGGCTTCCGAGGCCGAGACCCTCGAAATATTCTTCCGAGAGTGCCGGTGAAGTACACAAGAAGCACACTTCACTACGTTGGTTGTCTCAACTGTGAAGGATATGATGATAACATTTTCACAATCGATGAAAGAGACCGCGGCTACGTAGATACAAACATAAATAAAAACAAAAAAAAAATTAATAAGCGGTTGACCTGATGTTTACTACAAAGATACAGAATTCACTTTGATTTATTAAATTATTATGTACGCTGGGTTTTGTTAAATCCAAATCAACTTAATACGATTTCAAAAAAATGTAACGAAAAATGTTTTCCTTTTTTTCTTTATACCTGTTTTTCCCCTTAGTTTCAGTGGGATCTCTTCTCCAAGATTTTGGCTACACTTCCCGTCGCAGGAAGTCCAAAACCAAACACGTGACTTTTACCAATATACACATAACTTGTCGGCGTGTTTCCAATATCGAAGTATGGAGGTTTTTAACACTGAAACACTATCCCTGCGGTAAAATATATTTTTCACACTTCGGTGAATGAACTCACTTTTCAGGTATCAGAATTTTATATCGTATTTCGAGATGATTATAACTGTTGAACAATAGGAATTGTATACGGAATTAATTTATCTGAATTTCAACCATGCATTCATACAAAAATAATGAAAATATTTCTCAATAAAAATTGTTTAATCATAGTGTTAACATCCAGTTGATATTAATTTGATGTTGAAACGAAATATAACTAGATTCTATACATGATTTAGTATTTTATTGATTGCTTTCATTACAAGGTATTCGATATTCAACACAAATATGAAAGCTAAAAGGAAATGTGATTGGCTCTTAGCTACTTTTGTGGATGTACACAAAAATACTAATAAAAAAAATTGGACGCACGTCTGTAACTCTTTTTAACAATTACAGGTCAAAATTGAATGTTTTTATCGTGTTTTTATACAACAACGCCACTGAGGTGATAAAATTCGTTATTTTTATATATTCTAATATTTTAAGTATACACTGTTTTGTCACTAAAATTACACGAGATAAACTTTAATGCTTATTTAATAACCACTAATAAAGAAAAAACTTCTTTTGCAATTTGGAAACGCGGTAATAAATTGTCATATAGGCTTGAAATCGTTGTTTCTGTGAAGTCTGGTATTCGATTTACCATTTTTTCGACTTGGAAAGTATTCCTAGAAACTAAGCTACATGTCACAGATCGTTACATCAGGTGTTACTCAAACAGTCGAGCGCAGCGACATGATACGAGTTAGCTAAGAAGGTAGACTTTGATTTCAGGCGTTAAGAGAAAAAGAGTTCTGACTAGTTTACAGGTGGGTAATTAGAAATTCTTACGGGCTGCATTGAAAGACCCGAGGGAGAGAACATTCTATGATAGATTCATGACCGATTGTTGTGCGGGAATCAGAGATTATATTCTTATCGTGTGACAAGCGGAGCTGGAGCCCATCCGAACAAAACTAAAAGAATCCCAATGCACCAGTTTGTGGTGGAAATTTGGAAGAGTGATGGAAAGAGAGCAAATGCCTGAAGATATTCTCGGCACATACTTGACACTGTGTATCTCGAAATATTGAATTCCCTAACGATTTCCGATATGAAATGTCCAACTACCATTCCGCGATCCAAGTCAGCTAATTCCCATCGTGCGGCCATCATCACTTCAGAAACCTTTCACGTGAATCACGAAAGCTCTGCCGATGCACTGCCTTTTTAAACCTTTTGTACGCGATACTACTCTCATGTGAACATTTGCATTTTGGTATCCCATAACTTTTGTCACCTCAGTGTACTACTTCATGAACCAGCAAAACCTTGTTACGCACCCAGGCATGATATCAGTTCTTCCGAATTAACTCGTCGTACGCTTTAAAATCTCTTTGAACAAAAATGACACAGACAAAATCTGTTCTACAAAATCATATATTTAAGAAAGGTCATGTACATTGAAAAAATCAGTAGTTTACCCGTTATTGTGTTTGAAATTTATACAATTTATAAAACTAAATTTTTAAAATTCTCAAAAACCGCTGCAGATTTTTGCTTAAAACTTTTTTCAAGGAATAGCTTAACGCTTGAGGTAATGATGCAACACATTGTCCTTGAACTCTCTGAATTTTCGAAAATAGCAAATTTAGAAGTTAAAGCACATATTATTTCTTGAATGAAATCAGTTGAAAAAATAGATCTGGAAAGGTTATGTAGTACTTTTTTCAAAAAACGAGTAGATTTCGCGTAATATTTTTTGACGTTGATGCAATTTGTCAAAAAGATCTCTAAAACGTCTCCAAAAGTCTCTAAAACGGCTCCAATTTTTTTTAAATTTTATTCTTCGGATAGAGCAAAGGACGTTTAAAAAATGACTCAGGCATTTTCGGCGAACTGTCTGTAGTTTTGAAAGTTGCATGTTATGATGAAAGATATTTTTCCTCAGTGAAATCTGTTCTTTAAAACTATACCTTGAAATAATATAAATACAAATATCAGATTTTTGAAAATTCCAAATACCGTTGCTCACTTTTATTAAGTTTCGAAAAGTTTGAGTTTAAACTGTTAGATTTGTTGGTCAGAAAATGTGTGCTGCTGGCACATCACCCGTTTCCTATAGGACTAATGAGATTTTGAGGAATCACATTCTCCTTAGAATGAAATATATATATATATATATATATATATATATATATATATATATATATATATATATATAGAGAGAGAGAGAGAGAGAGAGAGAGAGAGAGAGAGAGAGAGAGTATATTCGGCTTAAGGGGATATCTTCAAGATAATTTCCAATGTATCATCATTCAGATAATAATATTAATATTTTATATAATATTCCAACATTATGCAACAAACCATCTTGTAAGTAATGTGATTTTATTCCTGAGATGGTTGCTTCACTAAAAGACGTTAATAATGCTTCAGAGAGAATTGGCTATGTAAGGAAGTCTAAGAAATTGGAAGGAACTGGAAGAATCGAATTTTGGCATGAAGAAGGAATTTCTAAATTGAGGTGATTTGGTTAGTTGATGTTAAGGCGTACCAAAACGTCACGGTATACAAAAGTGAAAGTAATGCTATAAGAGTTGGTTGAGCAGGAAACATAATCAAATGTTTTTACTATCCACAGATGGACAGGTCATTTTTCAGAGACGTTTTTCAAGCTTTCCGGCCTGAAAAATAATGCATTTGTGCTATTTATTTTATATTCTCAATAACCATTGAACACATCTTTTTCTTATATTGTTTTATATTTCTGATAATAATAGTTTAATTAGGATAGCTCATTTAATGGATAAACTATATATGATATAACCGTTCAGTCTTATGTTCTGCAAAATTGATATTCCTCTATCGATTTAAAAGAACTTGAGAGCCTCTGAGTTGGAAACGGATTTTCTGATTTTAGGGGGTACTTTACATCATGCTTCAACACTTTCAAATTTTTCTCGAAAGTAGATCGTCATTTTTTATTAAACTTTGTCTTCAGATAGCGTAAAGGACACTTAGAAGAATGGTGCGAGCGTCATTTTCAACAAAATCCCTGATTCTTCGAAAATTGCACATGTTACTGAAAGACAGATATTGTCCGGTCATGTAGAAGTTTTCGAAAATATTAGTTTTAGCGTAAATTTGAAATATAGTTTTGTTTTTTTAGGCATTTTTTTCTTAAAATCGACTACGAAATTTTCTTTCAATTTATTCCTCGTTTCTGTCAAAAGGCGGTAAAAAAGTGACGCTAGTCCCATTTACAGCGATCTCTTTGTATTCTCAAAAATTGCAAAATTTTAACTATTGAAATCTATGAAATAGAAGATACAGATTTTTGCCTTAAAGAAAATCCGTTTTAAAACATTTGCCCTTTAAAAAAAGATCATTATCATCATCAAGAAAATCCGTTTTAAAACAAATCAGTAGTTTTCGCATAATTTCAGTTTGAAATTAAAAAAGTTTTCAAAAACATCCCGATTAAAAAAATTTCCACGGATAAAAAACAAGGGTCACAAATCTCATTTTTGTGGATAAACCTGAATTTTCGAAAAATGTGTTTGAAATAATGAGCGAGACAATTAGTTTTAAACGTAGGTCCTTGTTGACGCCCTGGAGCAGCTGCCTAGTATTGTGGTAAGACACAGCGAGTTAATTCTATGGGCTTGTGTTCGAGTCTCGGCGTTTCGCTGGATGAAAACACTTTTGCAGATTCATGTACTAGAATAATATTCCGAGCCGTTACAGAAAATGCGAGAAAGCATGTGCTCTTCTAACATAACTATTTAATTTGGAATTGCCTTGCCTCGTAATTTAAAAACCTGTGAGGCGTGTCAAAAGTGGCGTACACTCGGGTGATATTATTGTATGTGTATTAAACCAGAAAAGAAATGTAAAATTTGTTCCAACAAAACGAATTTGGCTGCTTCACAAGGGCTAGCCCATCCTCTGTCCTAAGCCCCACACCTATCCTAATTCCTTCCCAATTCTGGCAAATGGGTAGTGATGCAAAACGCGTGGTAGGAGACGCGTAAATGTAAGTGCTAACTGGCGGTTCTCTTGAGAATCGACTGCGACGTGACGTGACACATGACATACTGGTAATGGAGGATCACACCTAAAAGCGCACTAGTTAATGGAGGATTACTCCAAGAGCAAAGCGCTCAACGCCTCGCAAGGGGCAACGCAACAAATTATTTTAAAAAATTCAAAAAACATATTTCAATTATTAGCAGACGACATAGAAATAATATTCGGAAAAAGGTTTTTTCTTTCTAGTAAAAAAAGTAAATAAATGTATGCATTTCCGTCTGAATGGTAGTAAATATTAATTTAATTCTCTCGCCAATGCATTTCGTCCTCGACTCTCGGTTGGGGCAAGTTTCAACGTCCCAACTTGCCATTCTTCAATACCTTTTGTCTCTGTCATTGTCCTTGGTCTAACGTCCTCCATTGTCTTCGACTTCGCCCACCATGATCACATGTTTTCCATTTTCTTCTTCGTTCTCGCCTTACGAATCCATTTCTCGTTTTCGTCATTCCTAATTCGTCACCGCCATCGTCTTTTGTCTTTGTCGTCTGTCTTCGTATTTTCCTTTCAATGCCTTCGTTGCTCTTCTTTGATATCGACTCACGTGTAGATCTTCGACATAATCATTCGCGATCATCTTCCCCTTACCCGCACCGTCATTCTTGTTTCGTCTTCTTCTTTATCTTTTTTCTTTCGTTTTCGCGTTTCTTCTTTCCTCGATTGCCGTTTTCTTCTTTCGTTATTAGCCATCGCCATTTGTTTCGTTTTCGTCTTTCATCTTCGATTATTGAATTTCTCTTTCTTCGTTGTCTTTCGCCTTTGTTTTTCACTTTACGTCTATCGTCTTTGGTCTTCGCCTTTCGTCCTCGTGTCTCGTTTTTCGTCTTAAGACTCTGTCTTTCGCCTTTTTTCGTTTTCGGCTTTCGTCCGCTCCTTTTGTTTTCAACTTCCTTAAAGTATTTCGTCTTCTCTTTTCGCTTCGGCTGTCGGCTTCGCCTCTCGCGAACTTCGTGTTTCGTCTTTCTTCTTCGACTTTGTCTGCTTCTGCTTCTTATCTGTCTTTCATCTTTATCTTTCGCCTTCGCGTTTCGTCTTTCGACTTCGTCTTTTGGCTTTGTCTTTCGTCTTCACGCCATGTTTTGAATGGTAGTGGCAATTTTAAGTTTTTTATTTGATTCACCTATGTAGAATAAACTATTGTATTTTTATGACGTTGAAACTTGCCCCAACCGAGAGTCGAACCGGGCTTTCCCCAAATACGACCGGGTTCTCTACCGATTAAGCTACCGAGGCTTTAAGAGTGTTGTGGGGCATGACCGCGATAATAGTAACTGGGCTCCCAGTTTCGATTTCCGGTCGGGCAATCAATTCCTTGAACATCATTTAATCAATTATTAGCTATGACAATTGGTAATAGTTGTCAATTGGGATACAGGCAACAGTATTCCGTATGTAACTACAAGCAAACTGTGGCGAAAAGATGAATATGATTTTATGAAATTTCCGGAAGTACTGCTTGTTTAAAAAGTACTATCGAGCTTGAGATGCAATAATGAACATCATTGGTTTGACCTGCATCCTGACTTTAGGTGGCTCAGGGCATCAATTGATGTCACACAATACCTCTGACCGGAGGGTTCTCGGGTTCGGATCCCGATGGTTGAATGCTATTTATCGACACTAGCTACATACCTCGATCGATTTGAACCGCTGCATGGAGGAGAATGCTATCGGCTAGCTGCTCTGATTGGTAGTTTTCCGTGGTTTCTCCGATCAAAACCAGACGAATGCCGGAGCAGTATTCTAACAAAAGTCCCACGCACCGCGCGCGGTCTTTCCTTCCTCTTCCTTGCCCTATCCTCACTCCTTACTTACATGCATTACACTGCCACACATCGCAGTCGGGAGCTTAGAGCTTGTTCCGGCTGGGGCTGGTGGGAGATACCTGGTTGGACCCCTATCTCGCCAACCGACGGGTAGGTCAGCGACGAAGACGAAAGTAGACAGCCACCTCTCGCGATAAAAGCACGCACTACACTTACTGGACTAATGGCAACGGTTGACGCGCCCGGAAACACCAATCAATCTGAAATATTTGTGTAATTTAAATTTGTGAAATATTAATGTAATTTTTTGTCTGTTGCAGGGCATGTATCGACACCTGTAGGAGTATTTGTAAATAGTACTTACGTAGCTCCTCTAATAGAAATATCTTCAGAAAGTACGCCACCCATCACTCCTGGTCATTCCATTCGCCTACCAGGAAAAGGAGGTGAGATATGAATTCTTCATATACTACTTTAATAATAGTGTTCCAAGTTAGCAGAAAAAGCACTTCAACCATTGTGAGTTCCGAACTTTTTATGCCATTATATAATTTGCTACCATTCCGAGAAACGAACATTCCCCACCGCCACTATCTACTTTTGTGACCGACAGTCGCGATGAGGTGCCGACAGAAAATTCAAAATAGGTCTACAGTCAACTGAGCCGTCGCTGCCGTTTCAGCGCCGTGCCAGCATTCCACATATCAAAAGGATGTTACCTCGCGGGAAGTGATGAGCGCTGTATCCACGATATTCCACCGTGCCTGTATCCAAACAATCGCGAGCCGAACTCTCGCCGGCCACTCTGTGTAAAAACCAGGCTGAGTGCCCCATGAGCGGAAGTTCCATCCACATCCCCCTGCTGCAACTCTCGTTATCTTGCGGAAATGCAATAGCTATTAATCAGTGATGGAAACCCTCTCCGAAGCATCGAAGCCGTCTACGTCGGTTCTGACAAGGGTATATAAACTATATAGTCTAACGAAGAAAAAAATGAAGCAAGGTACGGTACACAATTCTCACAAATTTACTGGCTGTGTTTAGCTCAAAATCAGCCTTGCCGCTGTCTCTGACCGGGAGATCCTATGGTTCGAGACCCGAGGTTGGCGGATTTTCGGCACTGGCTATACAGCTAGGTTGAATTCTGCCGCTGACTCGATAATTCTACCTGCCGCTAATTGTGAGATTAAGACCAGGTGAATGCCCGAGGAGTACCATAACAAAAGGACCACGGACCGCGCGCGACCTTTCCTTCCTCTTCCTTACCCACTTCCACATCGGGAGACCAATAGCGACTGCGGCGTTGCCTCGGAGGGAGAGACCGAGAGGTTCCCTCGCAAGCCGACGTGCAAGTTGGCAAGGTGGTGAGAAAGGAATCTAGCGAGGAAGGAACCACCGCCATGGGTAAAAAAACATTCACTACATTAACAGGGCTAATGAGAACAGCAGTTGAAAGGCTCTTAAACATCAATTAAACATTCATGAACATATATTTTAATTCTAAATTATTTAAATTTTAAAATAATGCGTGACTTTTGAAAACGACCATGTCACCGTTGTATTGATATTCATGTATTTATAAGATAAATAAGTGTAATTATCCTAATCATCCTTAAAAATAAACAACTAAAATAATTTAATAATGGAGGATGACAGGCACCAGTAACAAAAATTACTATACAGTATAACACACTTTCCCCATTACTCATTGAAGCTAAACACTTAATGGCATACATATTTGACACTTGTGGTGATTGAACCAGTGATCTCCCAATCACCAGAATGTTTAAGCTGTAAGGCGTTGTCTTATTGCTCGCCCTTAGTGGTTATAGTTGCATTATTGTATTGAAATTATGAAAAGAAAATAATTGAGACAGTCATTTTCCTACTCTAACAAAATAACTTTTCTATCCTTTCTGTTTAAAGACACATCTTGTCTCTCAGTGTTTCCTTCTCTTCTAACAAAATGGGATGGTATTGTACATTCATAATTTTATTTCGTTTCAAATATTTTATTATTTGGGTACACAACGGACATGTATTTTTTTTTTCACCACTCTAACATGTTAGAATTGTAATAGATTGTGAGTTTAAAGTTAAACTCACAATTTATAATGTTTTGTAACATGATAATGACTTTTCTATGAGTAGTTGACAAAAGGGTAAAGATAGTATTGTTTATTGTTTTCTATAATGATTCTTCAGTTATTTCTACTTACATTGTGCAGATGAAGTGAATTAAGTGTGACCAATTAATTACAACTGATACAATTTATTTGTAATAATATCATGTTTGTTTGTTTTTCCAGTGGGAACATGGAAGGAAATTAGCTTATCACGACCACGAGGAAACAATGCGAGGTACAGTGATCCTGATAGAAGTTCAAGCAATACTTTCAAAGCAAGCAACATGTGGATTACAACTTTATTAGTTGCTTGGACGAGTTTGTCAGGAATTATGAACATAATCACTCCTTCCCGATAATAATTTTCACACATGTAATTAATATACCGTAACTTGGAACATATTTTTGATTTCTGTTAATTGAAATCATACTAGTCTGTGTTAGTTCCAATTACTGATAACCTGTGTAAAACACCTATGTATGGTTTATTTCATTTGTTTAAAAAGTTTTATTACATGCAATAGATACAGATGAATATAAGAACATAAAATTGTCATCCTTTTATAAGGGATAAAAATGACTAGAAATAACTTGAAAAGAAAGTGAGACCTTGTATATTTTATTTGGTGTTCAACCTGGTTAATAAATCACAGTATTAATATTGGTGGAGTATTAATGCATCTCAGGTGTACTATATCAGAGACATAGTTAATTGTTGATTTTTGTGAAATATAAATTTTATTAAGAAGTTATTCCTTACCAAGTGAATACAGCCCAAGAATAAAATGTAAATATTCAAGAATAAAACAGTTTCAATTTTTTTTGTATGCCTGTATGTTTTGATTGTTTTGAACCAAATGTAAATTTCTTTTAACAAGAAATGAAAAAAATCAAAATTGGTGATAACAGCAACATATTTTCTGTTTTCACAAATATTTGATGTTTCTAACTCTTTATTTATCATCATACTTTATACAATATCATAATAATTTAAATTGTTAAATCAATTCATTCTGATCAATTTTCTCTTTCATATCAAAATCATTCAAAACTTATCAAAAATCTTGCATATTTTATATTTTTAAAATGTATTAATTCATTGTATTTATATCACATTCTAATTTTTGTTTTAAATGTTTTAATTTTATGCACTTGATGTAAATGTAATATAATTCAAATAAACTTACTAGTAATATATCTATTCTTTTTTATGATAGTTATTTATGTTGTAAAGTTGAATAGCATTTTGTTTTGTTTCTATTATTTAGAATTATCCTCTTTTTGTGTAAATATTAATATACAAATTTCATAATCACTAGCGCCCAAAAATGTAAGAACTGCAAGGGCTTTTTCTATTGCAATTAATTTAAAAAAAATAAAAATCCTTTTTTCTTCTTCTTTTGTTTAATTCACACTACAGAGACACTAATGACTTAAATAATTCTCACTGAGAATTTCATGTTCTTCATGCCTAAATGCAAGAACGCACCTTTTGTTTTCTCCCATACATCTACATCACACAATTTTTCACTCACACATCTTCTTATTTCTCTCTGTTCACATTTCGCTAATTTACTTTCTTACCTACACTTGATCATTTACTCTTCACTCACTCCCACCTGCCTATGCTACCTTTTTCTCTGATTCTTATAAAGAAATTGTTTAAGATGGAAGAAATTTGCAATGTTGTATCTATTATATTTCTCATGGAATGAAATGAAAGAATGAACTTATCATTAGATCTCTGAATAGCATCTAGAGCCTCAAATAATATTGGAACAACCATGACTGTGTTTTCAGTCTACATTGTATCTGAAAATCACACTATTCTGTTTATTTTTTAATCTCCTTTTGATCCACTCTGGAATCAGATGGAATGACCACTTCCACTAAATATATATTTATTTCTCTCATAATAAGGACTGGCATGCTATGATCCTCCTGGATCTTGAAATCCCAGAGTACTTTTGCATTGTGACTTTCGCCCTCCATGTTGATACTATGCTATGCGTCTACAAGCTATATTTTCTGCACACAGAGTATTATGGAGACTCAGCACACAGCGATGGTGCAATGGTTAGTGTATCAGACTGTTGTACCCAAGTTGACAGGTTCATACCTGATTGAAGCCGTGGATTTTTAAGGGCAAAAAAATCCATTGTACGCCTTCTTTCGGAGGGGAAGTAAAGCCAGCTGTCCCATGTTAGTAGATATACTTGCATGTAAAAGATCCTCAAGCCTAAATGACGCCTCTGAACTAAATTCAAATCGCCTGTTTCTCGCCCAAGAAATACCTCCTTTCTCTGCTAGTTGGTGAAAGGAGCGTAGCAATGCATAGTCAGACGGAAGAGCAGGCCTCATGGCCTGAATCTCGCCACGTAAAATAAGGCATCAATTCAATTCAATTGTCAAGGTCTTTCTAATCAGTTTGTGCAAACTTGCAATAGGTGCAGTTTACAATACTGACTTTTTCTGCCAGTTGCTTGCAGTCTTGATAGTTTTCTTTTTTGGCTTGAATGGCCTAAACCTGTTTTGGGGCTATTAGGACCAGCCCTTTGGTCTCTTTCTTAAGGGAGCCATCATGCAGCCAGCCCTAAGTGAGAAAGAAATCCTGCTTCCTTTATGTTGGTCAGAAACTGTTACCATCTGCTGTTATTCTCAAATCTTCCACCTACAGTCGATCTACTCGGGGCAGCTTTGACCTTGCATCTATGGCGCTTTGCTGTTTCACTGGGCTGTCCCCAGCTTGTGCCAGTACTCCCCTGTGCTTTCATCTGATGCGTGTTTCCCTTTATTCAGTGGTAAAATTGCTGCTGGTTGTTTAGAACTGATGTATCAACTTGGTAGGGAATGCATAGTGTTCAGAGCTCTTTCATCACAGCTGTCAATCGTTTCAGTGCCTCGATAACTTCACTTATGATCTTTATCCTCCAGATGGTATCACTTGGCATGCGAGGCTCTCTCTCTACGTATTTTTTCAGTGGCATCGTTAACTCTTTAGGATGCTAGTTTATCTTCTCAGTGTCAATCTTCCTCTCCAAATGAATCTTCTTCTGTAAGGGGCTGATTGATGGTCACAGCTGAAGGGCCAACAATCACACCTCCAAAATTGTAGGCTACACTGCACACAAGTCCATTTCTTTTAAATGTTAGATGGTGGTTGCTTGGATGTAGCTGTAAGATTTTCATGTGACTGATTCATACTACCTTATGTATACCAGTAGACAACCCCTATTTTTTTCTCTTTGTGTGAATGTATCCGGACATCACTTTGCATCACCTCTTCCTAGCATGCCAGTTCGTCCACTGCCTTTCTGGGTATCAGTCTCTCTCCTTAACAATATTCAATAACGCCACAAGCTATGCTCAAATTGCGTAACAAGATTGCATAAAAATTAATGAAAGAAAAACATTTTAGAATATTTATTTACAACACATTTTCATAGTAAGAACAATCGATACAAAATTTGCAGTGTGATCAGAATAAAATACAGAACACAATTAAGTGATTTTGTTCCTTATCAAAGAAAAGATAAAACATAAATTAAAAGCAGATACAAAATGTTTTTATAAAAATTCTGTTACACAAAGAACAAACATAAATAGTAATATTTGCAGTATAAGGAATAGGTACTTATTAGTTCATTTCAAAATAAACTAATTTTTAACATACATACACACACACACACACACACAAACTAACATTTTTTAAACAAACACACGATAAAATTTACATTTTAAAAATATTTGTGCATTCAAATTTTAACTAAACTTAAATAAATTTGTACAATATACATTTAACTGAAATATACACTATAATAGTCTCTCATCACCTATATCCCATATAACTCCAGTAACGGGACAAAATTGTACGAGAACCTTAGCACCTACACGGCTGCTCAAGGTCTTATTGATTTTGTTATCCCGAGATACCAAGAAATAAGAAATTCAACATTTATTTAATTGTTTTATTATCCACTGCAATTGTGTTTTGTTGAGATTTTGCAACTGAACTTCATTGCGGTCCAAACCTACAGCCTGGATACGGCCTGTCCCTTTCTGGATTGACATTCTAGAGACCGCTGATCTGATTGGTCATTTCTGCAGTTTCCTTCAATGAGTTCCGGGCTGATGACAGACAGAACAGTGCCTCAAACACTAAACTGAGAGCAATTCTTACTACCATACCTATTCCATCACCCATTTTTTAGGATCTGATGTTCAGCTTCTCTCCTTATACGGGAATATGTTCCATTCCTAGTGATCTCAGAAGACTGGCATACTACAAGTGCACACATGCCAAGACCCGAACTGGGCTGCAGCACCATCAGAGAGTAAGAATTGCTTTATTTGCATTTTTAAATGTGTCATCTGATAGAGAAACAGCTTTTGCTGCTATGTGTCACTGTTAAATATTGTAATGTCAAGCAGGTAGTAATTTATCAGCTATTGGGAGAAAATTTGGCCCACAGCACCTGTTGCCTCTTTGCTCTTCCTCATGATCATTTCAAACAAGAGTTGTTTTTTTGTTTTCACCAGTGAAATCCCACTTCATATAATTTTTCATATAATTATTAGGGTGTGAAAAATGAGAAATTTAATGTACAGTTACTTAAATTAATTGATTTCATTTTTTTACAAAATAAAATCAATTTATGTCAGCACACTTATTTCTCTACCGATTATTAAAATTTCAAACATTTAATGCCGAAGACCTAATACCAAAATTCAACATTTTTTAAGTATTGCACTTTAAACAAAATATTGTGAGCATACTTTTAAAGCTCTGTAGTGCATTTCATGTGGCATAGTTTAGACATGCTCACTGCTTACAAATCCAGACACTATTCATGACATTTCAACAAAAACGATGATTTTCTTTCATTTGCTTTGACACTTAATAACACAAATATCAGTGATTTCTACTTGTTCTCTTAATATCTAGGTATCAGTCAACGTACATTGAGGATACTGTTTACATATCGTGAAATTCAACCAGCATCAAGTAGAATAATAATGATATCATTATCAAAGTGTATTTTTATAGCAATCTTTAAATGCTGAATTTCATAAATGTTTTGTTTTTAAAAGACTATTAAAACATTAAAATCAAAACAATTTTTGAAAACATTATCACATTTTTAAATACAATGTTTTTTGAAGAATAGCACACTAACTTAAAATCCTATTTAACATTGAATGGCACCTAAACAGTTTCCAACCAAGTTGTGAAAATTACGCAAATTTAGTTGCAAAAAACTTAAAATCAAAAGAAAAGGAACACTAATACAAATAAAATCCTCATAGCAACAGTTAAGACTCATCACAATTGAAAGCATCCATAATTGGTTTCTGTAATGTCTGTGTCTTCCGCATATTAAGACTCTCTTCATAAGGAGGAGATATGGGTTGTTGGACAGGTTCTTTGTACACATAATCTTCAAACTGAGGCCCCTGTAAAGTGAAAATGAAATGCTAATTTACTTGTTTTGAATACAATATTTCTATTTTCTATTACATCTTATTTCTCTTCCTCTCTGACTTTTTATACTGGCACAATGAGATAATAAACACTTTCAAAAAACAATTCTGTATACTTACACCAACAGGATAGTTGGTATCTGCATCATAACCAGTTAGGTCACCACAAACCAAAAAAGGAATAATAGATGCATTCACTTCATCTCCTTTAAAATCAAAATTTCCACTGGGTAATCGCAGAGATTTCCATATTGTAGGTGTATATCCATCTGGTGGTGTGTACTTTTGACACACAATAAAGGCCTCTGAGAGAAAAATGATATGAACAATATGAAAGATAAATTCTAATAATTTTTACATGCATCTGTGTGTATATATCACTGATTTAAAATGTATTAGAAGGGCTATGTAGTTCACAAAATATTGGGGGGGGATTAATACATTTTTGGGAACATTACATAACTTGTTAAATACTGTCAATAAAAGTGAAGGAAGAAATCTCTTGATTTTAAACTTTGAAAAATAGGGTCATTTAGATGAGGCTCTTAAATTTCCAACTTTGAAATCATCAACTGCTTGACTGAAAAACTCTTGATCAAGTACAAACATTTTTAGTTGTTAAATGAATAAGCATCCATCAATATCTTAAAGTATTATGATTTACAAGTATGTACACAGGTCATTAGATACCTCACATAAAGAAATTTCATGAAGCGTCATGGAACTTTGGGACCAGAAACGAGACGTGAAATAAGGCATCCATGTAAAAAAGTAACTTCTACTAATCCATAGACAACATTAAAAAAATGTTGAGATTAAACATCTGTTGAAGGTAATGTGATATTATTAAATTGACCTAATTGAGCAGATTCAATGTGATAAACAAATGCTGGTATTCAATGTTTCAACTCTTTACTGGAGTTTTCAACAGAGGGCTTTAAAAAAAGCAAAATATGTAATTAAAATACTAAAACAAGGGCACATCATTAATACATCCATTAGTTTGAGCCAGACATAGAAACATCAAATAAACAGTGGTCCACTTCAGTTTATTCTCTTGTGGCTCCTAAATTCTTTGTGGAGCCATCATAGCTCATTGTCAGCAGGTTTGCCAACTCTTTTTTTTTTTGAGCAACACATGCTCTTGTCTACATCATTAATGGTAAATACATTTTTTGCACAGTCAAAGGACAAAGTTATTAACATTACAAGAAGAGGGAATACTCAATTTCAAATAACACCTTAATCATATGATCCATCCTTTGTGAGACACAACATACAGAATAACTTCTTTCAACTGGATGTACAAAGATAGTGAATAACATGAGAAATATTTATTTTCAGCAAGATGGTGTCACAGAGTATCCCTGCCAATGCACCCATGGAAATTCTTTGAAACAAGTTCCCAAGGCAAATTCAAAATGATTTTATGTTTTATTATTAAGTCAACTAGCATGCCTTCACTGATGTTTTTGAAAAAAAAAAAAAAAAAAAAAAAAAAAAAAAAAAAAAAAAAAAAAAAAAATCTATCTAATGTTGAAAATCTACGAAGTAGCATTTATTTTTACAATCTGATATCCGGTACAAAGAATGAACTTATGTCAAAACTATCTCTGGAAAAGTATATAAGCCACAACGGGAAAGATATCCTGGAATTATTAATATATTCCTACTAATTAGTACCATTTTCACAAAATGCTTCATGAAAATACACAAATAATACAAATTCAACAAAAATATGATTTTAATAAATATGAAAATACGCTACAAAAAAATTAAATTTCTGATTTGTCTAAAAAATTTAACACTTTTGCTAACTGCATTTCTTCAAAACAGAATCTGAAGTCAAAAATGTTTCATCCCAACACAATGATGAATCATGCACAGAATGAATTGCTGGATCCTTACCAATACTTGAGTTGCGGGAACTACTCGGTTTAGCAATGGTAACTCTGGGGAAGAACAGTTTCATCTGGTCATACACAATTGCCACATTCTGTCCTCTAAATATTTTCGCAACGAAAGTTCCTCCTCGTTTCAACAGGTATGTCGTGATATTCAATGCACAGGTTAGCAGCTCTCCTTGGATGTACTCATCTATGTCGTGTAATCCTGTAACTAAAAATAGAGCAAATTTAGAAACAAAGAGTTTAGTCTGGCATTTCTTAATATTTAGCATTACCACACTCATGTAATGTATAAATTGGTAAAAAACATCTTCTAACCTCAACAACACCCTACAACACTTAAATTCTAGACGTGTTTCTATATACTAGCAAATTCTAATCATTGTGATCATGAACAGCAGGTTGCTATCCATTATGTCTGTTACTGTTTGAACAGTAAACGTAGCTGTACAATTTGTCATGCAAGGCTTCCTGAGTAATTTTTGTTTTAATATTCAACTTTCTTTCTACTGGATTTTAATTAAAAAACTATTTTGGACCTTTTACAGTCTTCAATTTGTTGACACAAACTAGTCATCTCCAATTATCATTTAGGTCATTTTTATATGCTTTATTGAATTGTTTTTTTTAATAATATTTTTATTTCACTTGTTTGTCTCACTGAATGCTTCAAGTTAAGAGCAAGAATAATCTCATCCGCATAGCTAACTGACAGTCTATGTACAACATTGGCACAACATAAAATCAAAATCAATCTTCCTTTAGATTCTTGGGTCACCTTTTCTCCAAAATGTTTTATGATTATTTCACCAATTTTAATATAAATATTTGAAGTTTTCTTTCCATGTTTTTGACAAGCAATGTATCCTCTATGATTACGTGAGAAAACTTGTTCTGTTTTCTCTTTCCATCAATATTTTAATTGTTCATTTTATCTCCTTCTTTGGAATGCCATTTCTATAGTAATGCTAGTGAATATGTAAGTGCCACTGTGTTGGGCTAATTTGCTACAATTTGATTAACACAAGAACAAGATTGTTGCAAAAACACTCACAAACACCCGCACCTACCTTTTTTTAAAAACAAAAATACGTAAAATTACAAAAGGCACCAGCAAATAATAAGGTATTAACTTTTCTTTAATATTTTTAATAATAATAATAGTGGTTGACAGGTGTTGTGTCCTTGAGATTTAATCAGTATTTTCTGTAGGTTGGGTGTAAAATAAAGGAACAAGTGTTGTGATACTCCCAATCTGGACAACTGAAACTGTACAAACATTTCAAATTGCAACTTTTGATTACTTGAAATCAAACACAATCAACAACAAAGTTTTGCAACACACAACACTAAATATGATTAAATCAAGTCGTAGGCTTCCGCGGCCAGAGTCATTGGCATACCAGCCCTGAGGAAGACCACGACAGGATGGTCGAAACGTCGTCAACACAGCCTTCGACGCAGCGTCACCCGGACAGCCCAGATCACCCATTCAATATGATTGGTCAAGCATAAAATTGCATTGATGCCCAGGGTGATGAATTTCAACATCTTTTGTAGCAATTCGGTAAATAAATGCAATGTTTAAATTACTTTCTAAGTTTTTTTATCTGTATCATTCTTAAAAATTCCACCATCTTCCAATTTTGCAGCAGTTATGTTATGGGTTCGGTTTTACATTGTTCATCCTGTAAAAGCAATATAAGATGGATGAATTTGGACCACTGTTCTCTTTTGAGTATCGTTTACTATCTTCTCTTTTTTCTTTATCCATTTTCACCTTTATTGTTTATCTATTTGCCATATTGTAATTTTATGCATATTTCTCATATGAATCTTAAGTTTTATTCTGAGCATTATCAGGATTGTCCTGTCCACTCACGTATTTTGTAATTAAATAATGATTTTCGGTTTTACTTGACAGCAGTGTTTGGAACAGACATTAAGAAGTCCCCAGACTCGCGGGTTCTGCGGGGTGGAGGGCATTAGTAAAAGGTCTCTTTTTAATTTCACATGGTCTTCAATAAAAAAAACTATGGTTAGTATTTTTTCCCCTTTCTTTTTTTCATGACGTTGCAAATAGTCAAGAGAACGAATCTCGTCAAGTCAAGAGAACGAATATTGCATATGAGAAAGTAAAAATAATTACTGGAGCTTCAACAGCACACACTTTGTTATGCTATTTGTAACAATTAAATAACATTGAAATATTGCAACTTCTATAGTAGTAATGCTTTGGTTATCTCTTGAATAACTCTCCAGTAAAAAAAGTGAACGAGGTTAGGCAGCAAATTTCAAAAGTTCCGAGGTTTTAATGAATATTGAACCTATACCATTTTATTAAAAGACATTTGATCTACTCAAGGAAGTAAAAAAGTGTTTTTTGAGAAAACCTTGTTTATTATAAGCACATTTGTTCTAACATTTCTTAACATCAATCTCAAACAATTGTATCAAATGTATTCCAAAACTATAAAGTTTCAGTAAAAACACACAAAACAATTTTCCATTGAAGGGGCTAGTTTCAATCATAGCAACCTCTCCTTTTTCTCTGGAATTGGGTCACAAGAACTAGAAAAATCTTGGCATTAGAACATTCTCATAGTTAATCCTGGGATTCTTAAAACTTTGAGAAATCTTCAAATTTTTAATTTTTTTTCTTTCTTCAAAGTAAACAATTTCTTATAACACCAATTATAGAAACAAACTTTTTGTCTCCCACCACATAAACATTGTTCTTATTGATATTTATTTTCTGAGAGTGATCTTCTGAATGGATGAAAATCATCTCATACATTAAAACTAAAAATGTTTACTTTCCACACCATCAAAGCAAACTTCCTATTCAATTACATCATATCCAAAAATGTTACTTCAAACTCACAATATCCCAATTTAAAATGCTAACTGAGTGATTCTAACATTGTTTACTAATTAACGGTAAAGGAACAGTGAATGCATTTACACAAAGAAGTGTTGCAACTTCTAATAAATTGTTGAACTCAAAGCTCACCTTCAGTCATCGATTTATTCTTCTTTCACTCTGCCTGGTGACCTTAAATTTTGCATTATTGTAATTTCTTCTGGTGGAGCATGTGCACTTCTTTTCAGAAAAACATCAGCCACAGGCTTTTTAAAAATACACAGCCCTTCTTTACTCCCTTACATCCTCTCTGAGCTTGTGAGCCATTTTATTCGACCTATCTTTTTGTCTGAATATTATAGTTTCCCAACTACTTCTCCAGGTATGATGACTTTTTGTCCCCAGTGTTACGGCTTTGGTTTTTTAAGAATTATTATACTTACAAGATTATATATAATAAAATTAATCAATAATTATATTTTGTTAAAAAAAAAAAAAGTGGGATTATGGGGATTTGGTAGACGAAATGAGAAAAGTGATGGTAGAATGAAAATACTGTAGAGCAGTGGAGTCGTAGGAATGCCTGAACTTTGGTTAAAATTCTTTGTAGATTTAAGTGTTGATATTGTTTACAGACACGCAAATATTGGTGGCACTTCAAATGAGGTGGGAAGGTCAGAAACATTCTTTGAATGCAATTCTTTAGATGATTTAGGTCCCATACAAAATAAAATGTGGTTTTGCTTCCAATTTTATTAAATATCTAAGGTCACAAATTCAGTCGGTACGGGTAATATATAAGTATATGCACTTACCAATTAATTCCCAGTGCTCACAGAATTAATCAAAGGTTATTTGTTTAAAGTAAATATTTACCATCTGGAGCTCCATCACACACAACAAGATCTGCTTGTTCCCCAGCAAATTCATGAATTACTGCTCGAGCAGTTGACTGTTTAGTTATGTCTCCTTGTAAAATTGTTACTCCTGGAATAGGGGCCATGGCTTGAAGATCAACGGACACTATTCTCACATCAGGATTTTCAAGCGGCCTGAAAGTAAAAGAAATCCCACTATATTTTCTGACATACTACAATAAAAACACAATTTCATGGAAAATATGAAGACAAACCAAATCTTCCACAAGGTCAGACTTAACAACAGGCAACTAGCACATTTTCTAATTCTGAGGGCTCACAGGTCACCTGAATTTGTTTTCCCTGTGTATTCCTGATTTATATACTTTGAAGCATACAGTCAAGAAAATTTGTAAAAACTGCCCCTAAGCAAAATGAAGTAAAATGTTTCGTACAATGATTATTGACCTTTTATTTATTTATATATCAGTTTAAAAAAACTGTGTTAGACATACTATGGGGATAAGGACATCCTGTGGACATGACCTAAAATAATAATTTGTTTATTTATTTCCAATTCCCTAATCCTATGCAGTCCTCCTATACAACAAAAAATGTGATTTGTACATTCTTTTTGCCCTGACCTTATTCTTCGAAATTAGCATTGAGGTGCAGCATATGAATTTTACATCTATAGTTCATTGAAAATGTGACCTTCGTCATTTTTGTAAGCATACTTTGCTCTACTTGAGAAAATATTGTTTTGAAACTTGTGTGGATTTCACACCAAATTGCAGGAAAACTACTAATATTTTTAAAAAAAATTTATGTGACAGTCCATTGGGTTGTCTTTGAATAACAGATTTCTTAAAGAAAAATATCTCTATCATCAATATTGTAGTTGTATGAAGGCGTCAAAATAAAATAGAAGTTTTCAATTTTCAAAAACTTAGAATTTTTAATGAAAAAGAGATCTGCACCATTTTTTTTAAAAAAAGTCTACTCGGAGGAAAATAATTAATCCAAAAACTTCAAGCCATTTTGAGAAAATTTTGTAACATTCATTCTGGTTTCATGTAAAGTATATAAAACAAATCATAATATCAATTCCAAATTCACAGGGCCTTGAATTCAGCTGTATCAGCGACCTAATTAGTAAACTTTGAAATATACTATGCGAGAAGAGAAACTAAATGTGAAAAAAATCACAAGCAAATTGTGTCACCTCAAACATTATTTAAACAATTCTATCTACATTTAATACTTAGATATTAATGCACATAAAATACTCTTACTTCAGTTGTTTAGCAAGAACCTGACTCCAACTTCCAGGGGCAGCACACAAATCGACTACCTTCTTCACATCTAAAATAAAAAATTTCAATAACTGCATTACATGACAAGTTTTATTGGAAATCATATGTATAAAAAGACACTGTTTAAAAAACTCTTTTCAAGCAATAAAATAGAGAACAAAAATTAGATCATGAATTTAGTCCACACTTGGTTTATTAAACCTCCAAAGAAAAACAAAACATTTTCAATTGCCAATCACATTGGTTGAGCAAATTATACTGCGATTTTTGCAACTCTGCCCCTGGCAGGTATCGGCTGTTGACAGTTTCATCCTATCAGGAGCTTGAACGTTGCCATAGTGATGAAACCATCCACAGCTGATACCTGCCAGGGGCAGAGTTGCATAAATTGCCATATAAAATAACAAGTACCTTAGGCAATACAAAAAGCAATAAATGAACTAATGGGAATAACATATAAGGTAAGGAACAATCAACACAAAAAATAACAGGTTGAGAGAATTGTAACAGGATGAATAAAGAAAGAAGTGTTCTTCCGATCAGTAATTTTCAAGGCAATGTCTTTGCACTACTATTAGCTTAATTCTTTAACAAGAAGAGTCCATTTCTCAAGAATTACAGTTGTGAGAGTAACAGGTATCAGCAAGATTCAGTGATGAAACGTGTATTTAAGAACATACTAACTGTGGCATTTAAGTGTAAATAATGATACCAGACATTTTGGACCATTTCAAGATTTTTGACTCTTATTAATGAGAGGGAGGAGTCATCAAGTGGCAATAATTCACATTTTATTTTCATTCTTTATTATACAATTTGAAGAATACATTTTTTATTTGTTAATCAAAGGCAGTCAGGCTCCTTGCATGTTTTCTGACTGCCATAATTCTGCCAAAACAGATTATTCAGACCCAAAAAAATTTCACAAATAATATCAAATATATTTCATATTTATTGATCGTTTTACCTTGGAGCAAATTATATCTGCAAAATAATTAGGTTAATACCGCGTATGGAATACAAATTTTTCCTTACCTTTAAACAAATTGAACCTTTCATTCAAATGAATTAATTTGAAAGCGCTCCTAGCTCTCCATCCCGCCTCCTTAGCTTGCCGATAATATATATCACGTTTATCTTTCGATGACCTACCCATTGTTCTTAAGAGTTCGTTGAGAATTCAATCACCTTAAATCGAGCGCTTTTTTATTTAACATAAACACAACACAGATCACATGAGCACATGATTGCAAATTTTTTAGACTACTTTTAACACTTGCAAACATCAGTATAATACAACCATAACTTGCATACACTTTGCGTTACACAGAAAAAGCTGATATAGTAATGGGAGTGAATAGGAGACACTGACACAAGAGAACGACGAAAAAGTGAAACGACCTCGATCGGGGCGCAGTGAACGTTGGAAGCAATGAACTAAGATGAGGCGGGCGATTTGAGTATTTTTAATTCTAATTTCACCTCACTGTGCTACTCTAAAGCCGAATACAACCACAAAAATTGCCCTTCTTGCTCATTTTTGTTTTAATCGCACTATAGTATATTTCGCAGATAGCCACGTGTCGTTTATGCCAAAACGCTAGTTGCTTGCAGGTTTATTACAATACAGTGATCGTCAACAATGCATGATATTGTAGAATCCACATGAAACAGATGCCAGACCGGCCAAATCAGTTGAGTAACTTCGGACATTGCGAAGGGAAATGCAGTGACCCACGTACACGACTCGGCGCGTTGTGTATGTGGGTCGGTACATGTTAGTTGCGTCCTGCGTGTCGAGCGAGAAAGGTTTCTGTAGTGCACGACTCAGTAATTCGTTGCGTTATAATGCTAATTTTTGAACAAACAATTTCGTTGCAATACCGCAGCAGTAAGTAAACCAACCAAACAATTTCTGTTACGTGCGTGATGGAAATACCTTTGACGAGCCGAAGGCGGAATATTACTCCCTTTAAGAAGAAAGGCATATAAATTGTGTCGGGTGTCAAATCGGTTTTCATAACAAATCATAGGTCCCTCATATATGCTGTGCGCCTTATGTGACATTAATTAGGGGTTGGCTTAATAGAAATTTGCGACTTATGCCATTTGCAATTCCCATAGAATGAAGAGAACCAAAGAAACCCCCCCCCAACGGCTGTTATTTCTGCATTGAACAATTGGAGTTTGCGTTCCGAAAACTCTGGCGATGAAGATTTAAACATAAGTACCGAAAAGGATGACATTGAACGCCCAAATTTCGGTGGAATATCTACAACATGTCAGTCAGAACAAAAAGATCGAATCAGGCACAATTGTTTGCGTCTGGATTGAAAGGTGAAGGGAACCTCCTTTAGAAAGAAACCACATTTACATAATATTGCCGACGGGAACCAAATCTCCAATGCTTGTTCTCAGAAGAAGGCAATCTAAAGTATTGTACTCATGTTGATGCATTTCTGATTACTTTGAGAGACAACTATGATCCTAAGAATTGAAGATTGTTTATAGATTCCTCTAAATTCAGTTTAAAAACCGGGCTTATTCACATCCAAAATGAGAAGTAAATTATGCCTCTTGCCTATGCAGCCCATATGAAGGAGACGTATGGTATCATGAAACTTTTGTTATTGAAGATACAATACCATCAGTATTCATGGAACGTATATACAGATTTGAAAGTTATCGCACTTTTGTTAGGTCACCAACAAGGATATTCTAAATTTTGCTTGTTTTCTATGAGATAGGGATAGCGGAGATCACAAAAATAATTTTGTGAAGAAGAACAGACCTTAAAGGCCTCTGATTGCCGGACAAAAAATGTAGCTCTGCAACTCCATGTAATGCAGCACACGCATATCCCTTGCACACCAAACTCGGATTGATGAAACATTTTGTTAAGGTGATGGATAAAAGTGGGTCAGGTTTCCCGTACTTAAATAACAAATTCCTGTGGATCAGTGAAGTGAAAATAAAGAAAGGTATATTCGTAGAATCACAAATGAAGGAGGTTATGAGGGATCATGACTTTGAGGCAAGTTTGAATAGCGTTGAAAAGGTTGCATGGATGTCGTTTCAAAAGGTCGTAATGGAATTTCTTGTAATAGAAAAGCTGATATCTATGAAGAAATAGTGCCGGAACTCCTTCACAATTATAAAGCTCTGGGATGTAACATGTTGCTTAATATACATTTTCTGTATTCAAACAGACTTCTTTCCTGAAAATCCCGGTGCTTTGAGCGACAAACACGATGAATGATTCCACTATGACATTGCAAATATGGAGCAATTTTATCAGGGAAAATGGAATCAAAAGATGCTTACAAACTATTGCTGGGCACTAAAAAGGATATACACAAACGAAATACAGTAAACAATCGTTCAGAATTACATTTTGATTGAGATTATTATATGTAAGTAAAGTAAAGAAAACCAACAACTTAACAACAGTTTGTAGGTTTTAATCACCTATTACAAAAAATCCTTGCCCGTTACAAATAAATGCTTCACAAATTTGAAATCAAAACACCATTTTCTATCAGGAACAGCCATTAATCGATTTAACAAAAAAAAACAAAATGTTGTGTACCAGTTTTCTATAATAAAATTTATCGCGTCCCTTTCTTTGTATCGTCGTTTGAGAAAATGAAGGAAGATATAGTCTTGTTTTATTTACATGTTATTACTATGGCCACCAAAACTTATGGGACAAAATTAAACTCTTGCTTTAATAAAATCACAATATTTATCTTTCTTAAAAATAAAATGCAAGTTATCCCAGAGTTATCCAATTTTTTTTCTTTCTAAGAAGTCCTTTATTATACGTTATCCCTAGCAAATTACTCTGAGAAAAAAAACATAATTAAAAAACAAACATTTATATTCCGGAGAGGTCCACTAAGTGAATTTGACCATTCAAAAATGTAGTTTTTTTCTTCTTCTAAAAATACATCCACTTGTCAAATGATTGGGTGCGATCTCTGACTGGTGGATTGTGAGAACTAAAGTATTTATTACCTTTTCGAGTGATTTATTGTACCCTTGTATTGGGTCATTCCATGGCAAATGGTCTAATTTTGGAGAAGTGCCCCGTGCGACCATCGTGAGATGTAATGTAAATCATCTCATAAAAGTACATTTCTGTTAACATGGACTGAATATATACTATTTTTAGCTTTTTGAAAAAAATCATCTTTCCACTTAATTTTTACAGCAATGATAAGAGCTAGGAGATTGAAATGTTGCATTAAAATCAATGTTATATTTAGATGTTAAGTGCTAAATTTCGATTTTCTTACAAGAATATTGAGGAAACTATACAACAATAAACTTTGAAATTTTTATTGAACACCATATTTTTCGTAAATATTATGCCACATATTGAGCATTGTTGTCTCCGATGGATAATGAAATTACCTTTTTCTGATGTTTCAAATCCTGTTTCTAAATTTTAAGATTCTCTGCGAGGTACTACATTAGAAGGCTGAAAATTCCCTCTTTTGGAACTTTTTGCCAAAATCATCCGTTTTAAACTTAATTTATGAAGGAATGCTTCGAGCTAGCTAGTTGAAATTTTACATTAAGTAACAATAAAATATTGATATGTTAAGAGCCAAGGTCCACTTTTCTTACTCAAAGGAAGCTATTCAATGTAAAAGACAGAGTTTTTCGAAGATTGTTCTGCAATGTACCCACTGTGTGTTAAGAAATACAAAAAAAATATGTTAGCTCCATTGCATAGGGTGGAGAAACGTTGTGTAAATAAGCTCAGTGTTATTTCTTTAGTAATAACGGAGAAGGAAAAATTGTATCCCAAAATTGCAAAAAAACCTTAAGTCGTATTTTACAATGGCCCTGCACTTACAGAACTGCTGTAGTGCATGAGGTCAAACAGTTTTTTTTTACATTATCTCACCTATGAAGCTACAACTTCATCAAAGTTTTGAGATACGTAGAACATACAAAACTGCATTAATATCCGAGATCGTGGGGAGCCCTAGACCATTTGATATAAAATGACAGTGATGTCGGTTCAGGCATGAGAGTGATTTTGGATGCTCGTTTTCGTGGGTGACTGAGACGTAGAAACGATTCATATTTTTTTCACAAACGTTGGATTACTTGTAACTCAAGCTGTTTTACTCATTGTTCTTTACATTGCGCCAACTGAATTGATTATTGATTCCGGACGCGTCAACGGCTATGGTCATTTGTCCCGCAAGTGTAGTGTATGTTTTGTGTGATCTTTTTCCCGCTGGATAGCGAGATCCGGCGCCGACCTACCCGTCGGCGTGCACGATTTTCCCCAAACCGGTACCTTCCAAAAGCGGGGCACCGCCGATTTCATGGGAAGAAGTTTTGACATCGAATGGCATTTCTTTTGCGAAACGCTAGAGGGTGTTGAATTTTGTGGTTAGCCTCTTGCCGCATTGTTCACGGCACTACCATTAACCTTAAAAAAAAATTCTCTATAAAGTTTTTCGTTGATGTGGTCGGTGTCTTCTATATTCCACATTGCTTCTGTTTTGTTGTTAGTGTTCCTGATAAACTATTATGATTTTAACTTCCTCATGACCTTTCTTAACATCGATTTTTATTTTTGGAAGTAGGGGTGGATATCGTGACACTGCTAATGATCAGGATCATGATATAATCATGGTATTGTTCAATGTCAAATGTTTCTTCATTAGTTATACAATATGGAACGAAAATACCCTGTGTGCCACACACATGTAACTATACAGCAGGAAAAGTGAACGGCCACGGCAGTGTTAGCTTATGAATACCTTGACTCAAATGTCAACAAGAATCTTCCCAGTTGATACGTGAGGTTGACTTTTCCTTAAATCGCGTTGGTGGTTCATTCCAATTGTGTTTTGATAACAAATATAGAATCTCAGTTCCAAAATAAAAACACTTCATTGTAAAATTAAATTTTTTTTAAAAGTAAAATTCATTATTAAAAGAACCAAAAACGAATAATCTCGTGAACGAATGTAGTATATATATCGAGATATTGAAAAAATAGAAATAATTGACTAAAATGTACGGAACATGTGATGTCAAACTACTTCGATAAAAAGTTGACGAGATCACGACAGTAGATAAAGGCAAAAATTACGATGAACATTCTCAGTTATCATATTTTCAGTTCATTTCCCTATTCGTTTACTCCCCAAACATTTTCATTTGATGGTGAGTATAATCGCAGGCTTGTTTATTTGAGTAAGGTCATACGTGATAAGATAATGTTGGTGCATTGTTCTTATTCAAGGTCACCTCCTATTACAGAAACGAAAGGTTATCATACTAGAGGTAGGCGTAATTTCTCAGTGCTACTTGGTACGCTAAGTAGAACCTACGTTGTAGCTCCAAAGCGTAAGTAT